AAAGATACTATACAGAGGGTTACAGTTACATGAGTGAGGTAATGAGTACACTTCCTCTTGAACATTGTTACCCCCTCCATTGTTTTCCCCCTCCCCTCCCCCCCCCCCCCCCCTTCCCCGAGGTTCTTTTTTTTTTTTTTTTGATTGTGATTAAGTGATTACATAATAGAATCACATTTAAAATGTGGACATTAGTAAGTTATCTTGTCTCATAAGTGACATGGAATTTTTCATGAAATTATTATTTCAGGCAATCTCAGTGGTAGAACATTCTGGGTTTGATACCCAGCAACACACATATACATACACACTCAGAGAGAAAATATTATTTCATCATATAAGACGAAGCCAAAAAATGATAAAACTTTACATGTGAGGAGAAATGACAAACTACGTTTTAATGAGATAACATAATAAATCCTAGACACATGGTGTTAGGTAAAACTTGGGGGGATGGGGAAGGAATCTCAGAAACACAAGCTCATCACACAAACAGAAAATATCTTACATCCATATTTAAAATCATGTATTAGGGGCTGGGAAGGTGGCTCAGTGGTAGAGCACTTGCCTTGCATGCATGAGGCCCTGGGTTCGATTCCTTAGCACCACATAAGCAAAAATAAAAAAGCCGGAAGTGGCGCTGTGGCTCAAGTGGTAGAGCGCTAGCCTTGAGCTGAAGAGCTGAGGGAACAGCGCCCAGGCCCAGAGTTCAGGCCCCACGACCTGAATGGAGCGGGACTGTATGTACTAACAAGGAAAGAAGGCTGCAATATACTCTTCAAATTAAAAAAAAAATAAGCAAAGATCTACCATGAATTTGAAAATTTTGTATTACACACATATATTTATGTATGTATATGTGGTATGTTTAATATACACATATTTTGTGTTCTTTTTGGTGGTACTGAGGTTTGAACTCAGCGCTCTGCACTTACTAGCAGGCACTCTACCACTGCAGCTACACCCTTTCTGCTTTATTTATTTTAGAAAGAGTCTCAGTTGTACTTTTTCCCATTTTCCTGATTCTGTGTCCACCTCCTAGCTTCGCTCAGGTACGCACATGTAAACCATCTATGAGGTCAAGAACAAAAGGGGCTCATCAGCTGCACTGGACATTGATGAAAATGAACTAAGCAACTCAATGGCAGTGATGGGAAGGAGGGAATGAGAGGGAAAGAGGGAATAGCTGACACTAAGCAAAAGCAAAGAAACGTACATATCACCCAATTTGGAAGAAATAGCTGTATTGTCAAAGTTCATAGAACTCACAAACTTTATAGACCAAGATAATTACACCTTGCCTTGTGAAGGTTGAAATGTGTTGTGACTTTAACTAAGTATCACTATCCCACAATACTGTGAAATTTGTGATTTTTTTTTTTGTCGGTTGTGGGGCTTGAACTCTGGGCTTGGGCACTGTCCCTTAGCTCTTCAGCTCAAGGCGAGCACTCTACCACTTGAGCCACAGTGCAACTTCCAGTTTTCTGAGTGGTTTATAGGAGATAAGTGTCTCATGGACTTTCCTGCCGAGCTGGCTTTGAACTGAGATCCTCAGATCTCAGCCTCCTGAGTAGCTAGGATTACAGGTGTGAGCCATCGGCTCACGGCTCCAGCTTTTACTTGTTGAGATCCGTCTTGTGAATTTTTTGTGTGGGTTCACCTCTAACCATGATCCTCCCCATCTCTGTATCTTGAATATCTAGGAATATAGGCATGAGCCGCTATGCCCAGGTATATATAGAATTTAAATATGAGTCTGTATGCATAGAAAAATACTCTAGAATACTGGTACTCAACTTTGGCAAAATACTCGAATCATTTGAAGAGGGTTGTTTTTTTGTGGGGGGGGGCAGTACTGGAGTTTTGAACTTAGGGCCTCAAGCTAGGCAACTGTTTTAGTTACTATTCAGATAGGGTCTTTTACTTTTGCTCAGGCCAGCATCTGACTACAACCCTACCTCTGCCTCCTACATAAGTAGGTATTCCAGTGTGAGCCACTATGCCAAGCACTTGAAGAGCTTTGAAAAGTTCTGATGCCCAGGCCCCACATCTCAGAACAATAGTCTCCAGGCATACTCTCCTTTGTGCGTGCACGTGCACACACACACACACACTCGTACACACATGTATATTACTACTGGAGCCTTGTGCTTTCACTCAGCTTTTCTGTTCAATAGCCTTTTTGTTCATGTGAGCTACATCTTAACTTCTGGCATTTTTGCTGAGTAATTAGAGCTAAAAGCATCAAGGATTGTTCTGCTCAAGCTGGTTTAGAATCTAGATCCTCAGATCTCAGCTTCCTGAGTAGCTAGGATTACAGGCGTGAGCCACTGGTGATGGCTTCAGGCATCATTTCCTTTAAAGCTCCCAGGTTCATTCTAAGTGGAGACCAAAGCTAAGACACATTGCTCCAGAAGGATTTACCTACTCCAATCTGCCAACAGTGGATACGTTCAAACAGTGGGTTTGGGAAAGGAGAATTCCCGCTTTTTACTTTTCTATTGCTTACATTTTTACACTAAATAAATATTCCTCTTGGAGAGATAATGTGACACAGAAACGTATCCGTCACCAGATCCTCCCATTACCTACCTCAGGTGAGCTATTGTATAGAGTGGTGGGACTCTGACCAAAGCCATTTGGCTTTTCTAGCACCACCTGTTCAAAGAGAAACAGAAGACAATGTAACCAATAAACCGACTAACTTCAAAGCATTATATGCCTAAGATTCTAAATCTTAGTGGCAAAGAAGGAGATAGGAGAGAAGGAAGTAGGAAGGAGACGAAGCAGGAAGGACAGAAAAGAAAGAGAGAGAAAAGAAAAGAATGAGGTAAGGCGGTAGGAGTGGAGGGAACAAGGGAGGGAGGAAGGAGGTTAAAAAAAAAAAAGAAGAAAAAAATTTCCAGTGTTCCAGAGGCAAACAGAAGCCAGAGTAAGTGGAAAGCAGTCTTGAGAAAGGATACTCTAACCTTTGTTAGACCTTGCAGCCAAACTGGAAAACATGTGAGGCCCATTCCTCCTGGGAAAACAAGCAGCTGCTTGCCACAGACAACACTTTTTCCCTTTGCCCACTGGGATCCTGACAAGGCTTAACAAAGCATAATCAAATGAGGAAGAAGGCTACAGTTCTTTCTAACCCACAGCATGATCATTCGTCCTAAGACGGCTAGTTTGTGCCAGTAAGAAGCGGGGGGGAGGGGGGGGCTTTTCAGTCAGTTTCTGAGCACTGGAAGTTCAGTGCCTCTGCTATATGACAAAGGACCTCCCACTAGCCAGATGTAACATCACCCACCTTAAGTTCTATTTTCAACCAAAGCTAAATGGGTTAGGAAATGCCCAGCAAACAAAACTTAATTGTGTCCTAAACAGAGAGGAGCTTTCCTAAAAAGTTCCTCATTCCTTTCCTTTCTTTCTCTTTTCTGTCCTCCCTGCTTTCTTCCTCCTGTTAGGCTACTGTTCCCTTCAGGGGGAAGAGGACAGGGTTGATGGAGAAATACCGCCCCCCCACCCCCCAACTGAAGTAATATAAATGAAGACAAGAGTAAAGACACCAAGGGACAGCTCTGCTCTCCTGAGAAAATTCTTGTCCTAGAATTTTAAGAAAAGATGGAAAGCAGGATCCCAGATTTTCCATCCAAGGAAAGATTTACCCAACTTACTCATGCTTTTCACATCATACACCCTGGCTGGGGTTAGGGATACAGGGAAATGGAAGTGAACCTGTAATCTCAAGGAGTTTCCCATTCCGGGGGAGAGATAGCTGTATACATGGATAAACAACAGGCCAAGACTTCCTTTATATTGTATACATCACCCAAACTGATCAAGGTCAACTTATCAAAAGCTTCCTTCCTTCTTTCCTTTCTTTCTTTCGTCAGTCGTGGGGCTTGAACTCTGGGCCTAGCACTGTCTCTGAGCTCTTTAGCTCAAGGCAAGTGCTCTAGCACTTGAGCCACAGAGCCACTTTTGGTTTTCTGAGTGGTTTACTGAAGATAAATGTCTCACTGGCTTTCTTGCCTGGGCTGGCCTTGAACAGTGATCCTCAGATTTCTGCTTCCTGAGTAGCTAGTATTACAGGCATGAGCCACTGGCGCCCAGCTTGCTTTTTTCTTTCCTTCTTTCCTTCTCTTTCTTTCCTTCTTTCTTCCCAGCCCCTTTCTTTCTTTCGTTTCTTTTCTTTCTTTCTTTCTGCAGGCCAAGACTTCCTTTATATAGTACATGTCACCCAAACTGAGCAAGGTCAACTTATAAAAAGTTTGCCCTTGGGGCTGGGAAGGTGGCTCAGTGGTAGAGCGCTTGCCTTGCATGCTCGAGGCCCTGGGTTTGATTCCTCAGCACCACATAAGCAAAAAGAAAAAAGCCGGAAGTGGTGCTGTGGCTCAAGTGGTAGAGCACTAGCCTTGAGCTGAAGAGCTGAGGGACAGCGCCAGGCCCAGAGTTCAGGCCCCACGACTGGACCCCCCCCAAAAGAAAAAAAGTTTGCCCTTCCTTCCTTCCTTCCCTCTCTTCTTCCTCCCTCCCTCCTCTCTCTCTCTCTTCCTTTCTTCCTTCCTTCCTTCCTTTCTTCTGGTCCTGGGGCTTGATCTTAGGGCCAGGGCACTGTCCCTGAGATTCTTTTGCCAAGACTAGTGCTCTAGCACTTGAACCACAGCTCTATTTCTGGCTATTTTGGTACTTTATTAGAGATAAAAGTCTCATGGACTTTCCTTCATGGCCTTCAAACTGTGATCATCAGATCTCAGCTCCTGAATAGCCAGGATTACAGGCATGAGCCATTGGTGCCCAGAAAAAGTTTACATTCATAAGTGACTGTTTTTGTGTATGTGTTTGTATCATGTGTGTGTGTGTGTGTGTGTGTGTGTGTTTGTGCATGTGATAGAACTACAGTTTGAACTCAGCCTCACAGAGTCATGCCTCTAGCACTTTATTTTATATTACATAATTGTCTTTGCAAAGTGCATTACTAGACAATTGATCACACAGTCTTTACAGAGAAGAGGATATGTCAATAAGTTAGGACGATTTATGAAAATTCAATTTTGTGCAACATTACAAGAGCAGGTTACTTAGGTAGAGGCTGATGCATGTAAGCGTACTTATTGAGAGCCCTACCTGGATTGTGAGCTCTTAGAGAAGCCAGCATCCCTTAGATCCTCTCCCTTCCAGGCTATGGTGCCCCATTCCCTCACCTGTATCTCCTGTCGATTGAGAGAGTCTCCTGGACCCCTGTCAAGCTTGCTACTTATATCCTCCCGGAGCTTCTGCAGACAGTTCCTGGCCTGAGGAAGGGAGAGAAAGATACCTGAGCTTCAGGGTAGGGAAAGAAACACTCTTTGTGGTTCCCCTCCTGCACAGCAACAAAACAGATGAGTCCCCTAACCTGGCTATCATATTAGTTGAGAAGAAACTCAACACAAAGGACCAATAACATCTATATAGTACATTGCACAGTATATGGTATAGTACAATATATTTATAGGTATTTATATATATAGGGGTGTGTGTGTGTGTATGTGTGTGTGTGCGCCAAGAAAAACAAGCCGGCGGGGAGGGGGCTGACAAAGGCTGGGGAGGTAGCTGACAGCACTGGATGGAATAGTCCAAAAAGAGCTAGTAGGTACACTCTACTTCATAAGTATGTGTTGGTGTGTGTGTGTGTGTGTGTGTGTGTGTGTGTGCGTGTGCACACATGCGTGCTGGTACTGGGGCTTGAACTAAGGCTATCTCATTTTCACTTAGCCTTTTTACTCATAGCTGGCACTCTATTACATGAGCATCCCTCCATTCCAGTATTTGTTAATTAATGGATTGGATCCAAAGGGTCAAAAATGGTATTTAAGGGAATGATGGGGGGTGCACTTGATCAGGATACATCATGCATATATGAACATGTCAAAAGAAAACCCTAATTGATACTAATAAAAAAAAAGTGGGAAAAACTGGGTGCCAGTAAACCACTCATGTCTGTAATCCTAGCTACTCAGGAGATTAAGATCTGAGGATCAAGGTTAGAAGCTAGCCTAGGCAGGAAAGTCTATGAGACTTTTATCTCCTATTAACCACCAAAAAGCTAGAAGTGGAGCTGTGGCTCAAGAGCTAGGGCTCTAGCCTTGAACAAAAACACTATTGGACAGCACCCAGGACTTGAATTCAGTTCTCAATACTGGCATGGAGAAAAAAAAATAGTAGAAGAAATAAAAAATCCTCACAAATCATTACATAAATGAATGAATAAATAAACAAGTATATCTGACACATGGGAACACATGGAGGCATTTTAGGAATATAAAGGGAACAAAAGGACGAAAGAATCTATAAAAGAAAGGATCCTCAAAATACAAGGTATAGAGAAATGGCCTAAGAACTTCTCACAAAAAGGAGTACCCAGGGCTGGGAATGTGGCTTAGTGGTAGAGTGCTTGCCTAGCAGGTATGAAGCCTGTGGGGTTCGACTCCTCAGTACCACATAAATAGAAAAAGTCAGAAGTGGCACTGTGGCTCAAGTGGTAGAGTGCTAGCAGCAAAAGAAGCTCAGGGATAGTGCCCAGGCCCTGAGTTCATGCCCCAGAACTGTCACAAAGAGAGAGAGAGAGAGGTGGGGGGGGAGTACCCACCTCCTGAATATACTGGACCTCACTCTTTAGCTGGTTAATATTCTTCTCATGGATCATCTTGTCTCCAGACCTTCCCTTCAAGTAAACCTGGAACAAGACAATGACACTGTGTATTACCAGACCTCAAGTTCAATTAATTCCATACAAAGACATGGCCTCAGCTATTGGTGGAATGCAACCTGTTACTACCAATTTACAGGGAGGCAATCTGGTAATTCAGATCAGAAGAGTTAAATAATATACTTACTCATAGACTTACTAAATCAACAAGTACAAATGTGTCCTAGTAAGTTTAGCCAAACAATATGCAGCCATAGTCATAGGTACTCATGTGTTTACCAGATGTATGTAAATTCATGGAAACCAGGCTGGAAGAATGCATACCAAACTACTTACTGTGACCCCTCTTGTGGAAGAGGGCTATGACTCTGCATACCATGCTTGAATCTTTTGCAATTAAGAAAACATAGCTGGGCGCCGGTGGCTCACGCCTGTAATCCTAGCTACTCAGGAGGTTGAGATCTGAGGATCACGGTTCAAAGCCAACCTGGGCAGGAAAGTCTGTGCGACTCTTTTTTTTTTTTTTTTGGCCAGTCGCATGCCTGAACTCTGGTCCTGGGTGCTGTCCCTCATCTCTTCAGCTCACGGCTAGCACTCTACCACTTGAGACATAGTACCACTTCTGGCTCTTTTTGCTTATGTAGTGCTGAGGCATTGAACCGAGGGCCTCCTGCATGCAAGGCAAACACTACCACTGAGCCACCTTCCTAGCCCTTATCTACAATAAACCACTAGAAAACTGGAAGTGGCGCTGTGGCTCTAGCGGTAGAGGGCTCGCCTTGAGCTGAAGAGCTCAGGGACAGTGCCCATGCCCAGAGTTCAAGCCCCACAACTAACCAAAAAAAAAAAAAAAATCTTTCTGTATTACTTGTATTATGAAATACATAGACAATTTACTAACATTTCTGTTCAACAAAATATTGTATATAGTTACAAAAGAATGAAAACAGACAAAATGCCCATGAATGAATGTTTAATTAAATTGGTCTTTAATAGAATACTCTACAGCCATTAAAATGCCAGCTATTTATGTTTGTAGACCCAGAATATATGGGATGGGGCTGAGCATGTTGGTACATCTTTGTAACCCAGATACCCAGGAAACAGAAGTTCACAGTTCTCTCACCCAGAGAACTGTAAGCTTGAGGCTAGAGAAAAGTTATTAAGATCCTGTCTCAGGGCTGGGAATGTGGCTTAGTGGTAGAGTGCTTGCCTAGCATGCATGAAACCCTGGGTTCTACTCATGAGTACAGAAAAAGCTGGAAGTGATGCTGTGGCTCAGTGGTAGAGTGCTAGCCTTGAGCAAAAGAACCTTAGGGACAGTGCCCAGGCTCTGAGTTCAAGCCCCAGGACTGAAAGAAGAAAAAAAAAAGAAAAAAAGAGAGATCCTATCTCAAAAAAAGCAAAAACTCTATAGAATAAAAAGCCTATAAAATAAAATTAGGCTGGGCACTGGTCACTCACGCCTGTAAACCTAGCTACTCCGGAGGCTGAGATATGAGGATCACAGTTCAAAGCCAGCCCGGGCAGGAAAGTCTGTGAAACTCCTATCACCGATTAACCGCCAGAAATCCAGAAATGTCACTGTGGCTCAAAATGGTAAAGCCAGAAGTAGCGCTGTAACTCAAGTGATAGAGTTCTGGCCTTGAGCAAAAGAAATTCAAGGACAGTGAGCAAGCCCTGAGTTCAAGCCCCAGGACTGGAAAAAAAAAATCAGTACTGATACATGCCACAACACATGCATGAACTTTGAAACTATGCTAAGTATAAGCATGTATCTAAAGAGCACACTGAATTCCATATAGTTAATATGTACTAATTTAAAAGAGTAGGAAAAAAAAAGAAATCAGACACATATATTATGTGATTCCATTTCTATGAAATATCCAGAGTAGTCAAATTCAGGAAGACAAAAAGCACATTAGTGGCTTTCGAGAGCAGAGAAGAACTGGAAATATTCTAGAATTAACAGAGGTGATTGGCTGTACAAGTCTGTGACATATTAACAATTATTAAATTTTCCTCTTTATTTACTTATTTATTTTTGTTGGTTGTGAGTCTTGAACTCTGGGCCTGGGCATTGTCCCTCAGCTCTTCAGCTCAAGGCTAGCGCTCTACCACTTGAGCTACAGCACCACTTGCGGTTTTCTGGTGGTTAATTGGAGATAAAAGTCTCATGGACTTTCCTTCCTGGGCTGGCTTTGAACCATGACCCTCAGATCTCAGCCTCCTGAGTAGCTAGGATTACAGGTGTGAGCCACCAGCGCCCAGTTACAATTACTAAATTGAATATTAGAACTGATCCAACTATATCATATGGAAGTTATGAAAAAAAACCAATTGTTTTAATTTTACAAACATTCAGAAAAATCATCCTATCAATCCCATGCTGAAGGCCAAGTCACTACAGGCAGACTCTGCTCTCCTGGTGTTAACTAAGATCTGTGCAGGAGAGGATCAGGAGCCAGTCTCTCAGGTCTGGGTCCTTGCAGTCAAACCACAAGCTACCTCTGGCAATGTTCACCACTCCCTCTCCTACGTCTGCAGGGAAAAAAGGAAGGAGGAAAGGGGAGGAGAATAAAGCATACCTTAATGATCTCCTCATGTCCATCGTTGGATTCCACCATTTCCGAAGACAGGGAATGACCAGCTGAGTGGCCAGACACCATGGCGTAAGTCTTCGTGCCCGCCTGCCAGAGAGAAGAAGTGGCTCAAAAAGGACTCTGCAAACCCCTGCCCCTGACCAATGCAGGAGACCTGCTCCTCAAGAGACTTGAAGTATTAGTCTGAGATTCCCCTCCAAACATCATTTAGAACCTCTAACAAGCCAAACAGCAGCGAGATCGTGGGGTGGGGGAACATTAGTAGAACATACAGTTTGGTTTTCATGTTAGTGGGGGGAATGGGGTCTCACCCCCCAAAGCAGCACATAATGCTGAGCTCAGCTGAAAGCTGAAAGCTTGTAGCAGCAAAGGCAGCTCCCAGCAGCATTGGGATGAGGAGACAGCAACAAGACAGAAGAACTGGCCAAGGAGAAGAGGCCTTGCCCCACCAGAAACCTCTATACCTTCTGGGCTATGTGCTCAAGTTCATCTCCTGTCAGTTCACTCTGGAGAGTCAGCCTGAGAATGTCCACGCTGCCCTAATAATGACAATGACAGCAACAATAACCCCTTACTTTTATAGTCTACAAAGTACTACCAGTGACGGTGGTTTTGCCAGCTCTGTGGAATGGGCTGTTTTCTATGGTCAATTCACAGACAGGAAAACTAAGGTCCAGAGAGGTGGTATTAACTTGCCCAAGATCAAATCATTCCTGGGTGTTGGCATATGTCTGGGTCATCTGACAATCTTCTTCCCACCACACTAGAGACCATAAAGCACACTGCTCCATACAGCACCAGAGGGCTGTCCTGAGTTCCAGATTACAGGGGACACATTGCCTGGACACTTCTTTCCAAATGGTGGAGAAGTTATCCCTGGACTAGTTATTTCTAACCCAGAATTTCTGCTCCTGACAACCAGCCAGGAAGTTACAGAAACCCTTTATAAGACTAGGATAACCTTTCTGAACCAAACTGTAAGGAAGTACTAGAATTCAAACCCTATTTCCCTGAGCCATATGGAAATTATCCAAATGAAAGCAAGTAAGGGAACAGATTTTTTTTTTTTTTGGGTGGGTTGTGGAGTCTAAACTCTGGGCCTGGCTTCTGTCCCTGAGCTCTTCAGCTTAAGGCTAGCACTCTACCACTTGAGCCACAGTGCCACTTCCGGCTTTTTTTTTTCTGCTTACGTGGGGTTGAGGAATCAAACCCAGGGCCTCATATGCATACAAGGCAAGCACTCTACCACTGAGCCACCTTCCCAGGCCAGGTAATAGATTTTATCTAAAGATCAGCCTCATTTTCAAAGGATGAGCAGATTTAATTTCCAAACTCAAAGGGCAAAAAACAAACAAAAAAAAAAAGAAACACTTTTGTGGCCAACAGGTGGTGAATCATGCCTATGATCCCAGCTACTCAAGAGGCTGAGATCTGAGGATCTCAGTTCAAAGCCAGTCCAGGCAGAAAAATTCCTGAGACTTTTATCTATGATTAATCAGCAAAAAGTCACAAATGGAGGTATAGTTCAAATGGTAGAGCACCAGCTATGAGAGAAAAAGCCAAGAAAAAACTCAAGCCCCTGAATTCAAGTCCTAATACTAGCTATACAGACACACGCACAGACACACAGATACACACAGACACACAGACACACAGATACACACACACACACACCATGGGACCATAAAAACCCAGTGGGAAGCTGGGAGTCACAGGCTCATGCCTATAATCCTATCTACTCAAAAGGCCAAGATCTGAGGATCAAGGTTTGAAGCCAGCCTGTGCAGGAAAGTCTGAGAGACTCTTTATCTTCATTTAGCCAGCAAAAAGCCAGAAGTGGACGTATGTCTCAAATGGCAGACTATCAGCTGTGAGCTAAAAAGCTGAGTGAGAAACTGAGCCAGAGCTTGAGATCCAGAGTTCAAGCTTCATTGCCAGGACAAACAAACAAAAAAAACCCAAAAAACAACAAAAACAAAATCTTGTGAAGGGATGAGTAAGAGAGAAAAGTAGGGGATGGAAATTTGGGAAGACAATAACCTTGAAAGAGGCTAGCAAGACAGAATGGAACAAACGCTGCCAGTAACCTATATTATATGTGGTGCAGAATAAGCTTAGCCCTTGGTTTCCATGAGCGAAAAGAAGGGCTGGAAGCCAGGCCCAGGTGGCTCACACCTGTAATCCTAGCTACTCAGAAGGCTGAGATCTGAGGACCATAGTTTGAAGTCAGCATGGGCAGAAAAGTCTGTGAGATTCTCATCTCAACCAATAAAAGGGGCTGGGAAGATGGCTCAGTAGTAGAGTGCTTGCCTTGCATGCATGAGGCCCTGGGTTTCATTCCTCAGCACCACATAAGCAAAAAGAAAAAAGCCGGAAGTGGCACTGTGGCTCAAGTGGTAGAGCGCTAGCCTTGAGCTTAAGAGCTAAGGGACAGCACCTAGGCCCAGAATTCAGGCCCATGACCAGACCCAAAACAAAACAAAACAAAAAAGCAATAAAAAAGCTGAAACTGGAACTGTGTCTCAAGTGGTAGAACTGTATCTGTGAGTACAAAAGCTCAGAGACAGCACTCAAGCTCTGAGTTCAAGCCCTAGGACCAGCACATATACACACAAAACCAACCCACAAACAAAACCAAAACCACACACACACACACACATCTCACTATGTAGTCCAAGTTGGCCTCTAACCCTCAAATCTTCTGCCTCAACCTCCCAGGTACTGGAATTTCAGGTGTGCATGCCCACACCCAGTAAATCTCCCTGGATTTCTTTTGAGAGGGAATAGATAGAAACAGAACCCAGGGGCTGGGAAGATGGCTCAGTGGTAGAGCGCTTGCCTTGTATGCCTGAGGCCCTGGGTTCGATTCCTCAGCACCACATAAGCAAAAAGAAAAAAGCCGGAAGTGGCGCTGTGGCTCAAGTGGTAGAGTGCTAGCCTTGAGCTGAAGAGCTGAGGGACAGCGCCCAGGCCCAGAGTTCAGGCCCCACGACCGGACCAAAAAAAAAAAGAAATAGAACCGAGAGCCTTCTACGTCCTAAAGCATGTGCTCTACCATTAAGCTACTACAGCTCTCTCGTTTTACAAAAGCACTTAACTCCTACTAAGCAAAAGCCAGAACCATACAAGACTCTTCACTGGCTGGGTCAACTCACTTCATTTTATCTCTTTTCCAATGCACCCTGTGCTTTTCAACTTCACTATCATTGCTCTCATCATTTTTCTTGCCTTAAATATGCTTGCTTCCCATTTTCTCCTAGGGCATCGAGTTTCACAAGTGCTCATGTTAAAAGGCCACATCTTCCATGACGCGCCTAGCATCCTGTGGAAAACACATCCTCCCCTCCCTGAATTCCCTCAGAACCGGAGAGTCTCCCATGGCCTCTGCCTCTCAGTTATTTATGTTCCATAAGGAATTGCCTTTTCTACCATCAACTCCTCAAACACTGTTGTCATCCACAGCTCCGAGCACAGATTAAGCACTTTCTGAATGCCCAGTGAATGCAGTGTGATATTTAGGTTGAGAGAATAAAACAAAAGAACGAGGGGATGATTTCAAGATAGCCAGAATTACTGCCAGTTCTTTTCCTCAGGACATGAACATAAGACGTTGATTAAAAATCTGACTCCCCATATCTAGAGGAAGCTGAGCAAAGCCAGGACAAGGCATCTCTAAATGAGAAAAAAGAGTTAACTACCTAATGAAAATCATCAAGCCCAGTGTTTCATTAATCCAGGCATTCCAGTAAATAAAAGCATAAACAATTAGACTGGGTGGAGGCCTGAAAAGATTATCCCATCCATTCATTCTAATGAATTTATGGGGTTCATTAGAATCCCAGATACAGCAGAGAAAGAAATGGGTGAGTTTTAAAAAGTACTCATAAACAAATGCTGAAAATTCCTTTCCCAAACTTGACAAAAGACATAAACCTACAAATCCAAGAGGCCAAGCAAACCTCAAACAGATAGACCTAAAATTCATATTGCAATAGATCATAATTAAACTTCTAATCATAACTAAAGACTATTTTTTAAAGATCTTGAGGAATGGAGGATGTAATAATGCTTGATAGGAAATGTAGTCAGTACCTTACTCATGTAACTATAACTCCTCTGTACAGTACTTTTACAATAAATATATTTTTTAAAAATCTTGAGGGGGCTGGGAAGGTGGCTCAATGGTAGAGCGCTTGCCTTGCATGCATAAGGTCCTGGGTTCGATTCCTCAGCATCACATAAGCAAAAAGAAAAAAAAGTTGGAAGTGGCGCTGTGGCTCAAGTTGGTAGAGCATTAGCCTTGAGCTGAAGAGCTGAGGGACAGCGCCCAAGTCCAGAGTTCAGGCCCCACGACTGGACCCCCCCAAAAAAAATCTTGAGGAATAAGGAATGAAGAAGATAGAGAGAGTAGGTTTCATCTGGGCACATTGGATGCATACAAGGAAATGTCACAATGGAATTCCCCCCTACACAACTAATATATACTAATTTTTGAAAACTTAAAAAAGATCTAAAAAGGGGCTAGGAATGTGGTTCAGTGGTAGAGTGCTTGCCTTGCATGCATGAGGCCCTGGGTTCAATTCCTCAGCACCACATAAGCAGAAAAAGCCAGAAGTGGCGCTGTGGCTCAAGTGGTCCAGTGGTAGCCTTGAGCTGAAGAGCTGAGGGACAGTGCCCAGGCCCAGAGTTCAGGCCCATGACTGACAAAAAAAAAAAAAAAGATCTAAAAAGAGACAGAAAAAAATGACACCTTACCTATTCCTATAGTATATAGATTTAGACAGATATCAAATTGGATCTCCAGTATCACAAAGACAAAACAAAAACCAGATACAACTAGACAAAAAAGCCAGCAGGAATATAGAATTTTATATCTATATAGAGAGATGTATAGATATATACATATAAAACATGGTAGCAACAGTAGCTCACATCTAAAATCCTAGCTACTCAGGAGACTGAGATCTGAGGATCACAGTTTGAAGCCAGCCATGGCAGAAAAATTTATGAGATTTTTTTTGTTGCTGTTGTTGGTTGTGGGGCTTGAACTCAGGGCCTGGGTGCTATCCTTGAACCTCTTTGTGCTCAAGGCTAACGCTCTACCACTTGAGTCACAGCACCACTTCTATTTTTTTGTTTTGTTTTGTTTTGTTTTGGGGGGGGGGTCCAGTCATGGGGCCTGAACTCTGGGCCTGGGGCACTGTCCCTCAGCTCTTCAGCTCAAGGCTAGTGCTCTACCACTTGAACCACAGCGCCACTTCTGGCTTTTTTTCTTTTTGCTTATGTGGTGCTGGGAAATTGAGCCCAGGGCCTCAGGCATGCAAGGCAAGTGCTCTACCACTGAGCCACCTTCCCAGCCCCAACCACTTCTGTTTTTTGAGTGGTTAATTGGAGCTAAGAGTTTCTTGGGCACTTTTCAGCCTGGGCTGTCTTGGAACCTCAATCCTCAGATCTCATCCTCCTAAGTAGCTAGGATTATAGGCATGAGCCACTGGCACCCAGCTCATGAAAGCTTTTCTCCAATTAAACACTCCAAAAG